AAACCCTGCAGGCTAGGGGAACTTGGAGCCCTATCTTCAAACTTCTAGAACATAAACAATTTCAACCAAGAATAACCTATCCAGCCAAGCTAAGCTTCATCAATGAGGGAGACTTAAAATCTTTCCCAGATATCCAATCCCTAAGAACTTACGATGCCACCAGACCACCTCTACAGGAAAAACTTACAAAAGTACTACACAGAAAAAAAGGAAAAAAGAACAACAATGTTATTCACAAGAATACAGGAAAAAGAGTAAAACACATACCAACTAACCCCAAAACCAAAAGAAAGACAACAAACAAAGAGGAACAGCAACCATGACTCAATAAGAACTTTATGACAGGGATAAACTATCACATTTCAATAGTTAGCCTGTGTGTGAATGGACTAAATGCACCACAGAAAAGACATATAATGGCAAAATGGATAAAATATCATGAGACAGCAATATATTTTCTCCAAGAAACTCATCTCACCAGAAAGACACTCACAGACTCAAAGTAAGAGGATGGGAAACAAATTTTCAGGTGAATGGAACACAAAAGAAAGGAGGAGTCACAATCCTAATTTCAGACAAAATACCATTTAAGCTATCAAAAATTTAAAAAGATACAGAAGGCCACGACGTAATGATAAAAGGTTCACTCCATCAACGAGAAATATCTATCCTAAACAACACAGCACCAACTTTCATAAAGCAGTTTCTAGGAAAACTCAAAAAAGATATTGACTCTAACACTATCATAGCTGGGGACTTTAATACCCCACTCACAATCCTAGACAGATCATCAGGACAAAAAATCAGCAATGAGATCTGGAACCTCAATGTGACTCTTGACCAAATGGACTTAATTGATACCTACAGAACACTCCACCCAACAACCACAGAATATACATTCTACTCATACGCGCATGGAATGTACTCTAAGATTGACCACAGACTTGGCCATAAATCAAGCATAAAAAAAATTCAAAAGATTGATATTTTGTCATGCACCTTTGCAGACCACAGTGGAATAAAAATAAACATCAACACCAACAAGTTTCCCCCCCAAACCCACAAAGACATGGACACTAAATAGCATGATGCTAAACAACTCCTGGGTCAATGATGAAATCAAAACAGATTAAAAGATACCTGGAAACAAGTTAAAATGAAGAAACATCTCTGGGCTGCCATGAAAGCAGTAGTAAGAGGGGAATTCATATCTCTACAAATGCACATGAAGAAAATGGAAGGACCACAAATTAACAGCCTAACAAATCACCTTAGGAAGCTGGAAAAGCAAGACCACCAAAACCCTAACTTCAGCAGAAGAATCCAGATCACCAAAATAAAAACCCAAATCTGGGACATAGAAGACAAAAAGATAATACAAAAAAAATCAATGAAACAAAAAGCTGGTTCTTTGAAAGGATAAACAAGATTGATGGTCCCCTAGCTAGACTGACCAAGAAAAAAAGAGAAAAAGCCCAGATAAATACAATCAGAAACACAAAAGATGAAGACACATCTGACCCTAAAGAAATATAAAAGATCATTAGAGACTACTATGTACACTTGTATGGAAACAAACTTGAAAACCTTAAAGAAATGGAAGACTTTCTGATATCACACAGCCTGTCTAGGTTGAAACAAGAAGCAATAGAGACCCTAAATAGACCAATAACAATCAAGGAAATTGACTATGTAATAAGAAAACTACCTACCAAAAAAAAAAAAAAAAAGCCCTAGACCAGATGGCTTTCCAGCAGAATTTTATAAGACATTTAAGGAGGAGCTGATACCAACCTTACTGAAAGTATTCCAGGTGATTGAGAAGAGCTACTTTAGGGTCAACAAAAGTCTTCTTGTAGTGATGGGAACAGACAAATTCAAGAACTAGTATGAGGAGGATGGTCAACAAATACTTAAAATAATGTTTGCCAATGTGTGGGATTTCCCAGTGGTGAATCTCTTCAAAACAGATTGTGCATAGTATTCCATAATTGTTTTAACAGTCTTGGTGGGATTTGACCAAGAGGGGACAAACTGTACCGAGGGACAGGCTAAACTAGTACCTAGATGTTGAAGAGAAAAGTAAACTCCATTGTGCACAAAAAATACAATTAAAAATTTTAAATGTGTGGAAGAGAATCCTAGCAAAAAGACCTTGCATCTCTATGCCATAGCAACCTGAAACAAATAGATGAATTTGTGACTCTCATTCTGAGACTGGAAGATCATTGTTTGATAACATACTATTAGCTGAGATTTGTTCTGATTAAATGAAAACAAGGAGAGTGATGCTTAAAATGTGTCATACGTGTGGCCATCTGACTGTGATTTCCCCATCTTCTTCCATCTGTCATGATGCTAATAAACTCAGGTAAGCCAAGTGAGCTCACAGAACTAAGGCTAAGCTTTCCTAATTAAAGGGACAAATTTAGCAAAATTTATTGTATTTCCAGCCCTGTTTATGACCAAAAAACCCCCATAAAACAACAAAACCAAAACTGGATTGCAGAAGCCCTTCCCAAGGTTACAAAAGAGATTGGAGCCAATATACTTATCACTAAGTTTATAGCATATAGAAGATAATAAGAGAGAATGTGAACCACATGGAAGATGAGGAAAATGAGGATTACAAAATTGTAATCTCTGTCCCTACAAAATTAAGATTGTTTAATAGTTGTTCTGCAGGTGTGACTCTGAGATAATCATGTCAAATTTCCCCTGAGACCCTGATGTTATTGATGATTTGTATGTCAAATCAGAGATACTAAATTCCAACTATGGACTCTACTGCATACGAATTTAAACATTGGGAATATAACTCTTTATCATTAGAATATCCAGACTTTATCTAATTGCAATAGCATACCTTATATTTTCTTTCCAGGAACAAGAAAGCACTAGAAGGACTGACAAAGAAATACTGTATGTATTCAGTGCCTGCTTTCCCTCAAGAATTAAGTGAACCACTTGTCTATTGATATATACACCTGAGTAAAGCCATTCCCTATAAACCACACCATAAGGTTGGTCGTGCTTCTGTTATTCATCATCCACCCTTTTTTTTTCAATGTCAGTGACAAGATTCTCAACTATATTGATTCAGATGGCCTAGATTTATGATGAAATTAGGCATGACAAATAAAAGCTTCTTCTTGGGATAAATGGTTCGACTGAAAAATGAGGTTGAATGTTTCGGAGTCCCTGCAAATCGTCTACGCTAGAGGTAGGTGGTCTCTTACAGAATACCACAGAAACTAGTTGCAGATGAGTCATTAATTCAACCAATAATGGCAGAATATTAAGGGAGTGGCTCTCAGTTTGTCATGTCACATATGGCAGTAAAGGAACTAGTTTTCTGCTATTCCTTCCTCTTGTCTTATTCTTCTCTTTCTCTCTGACTTCTCATCTTTCCCTACTGCATTTACTAACTTGTGCCCACTTGCCTATGAGACCATTTCTAGCCTCTTGACATCAATCACTTTGTTGTACTGCTTAGGTAAACCTGCTTATTTGTGGTACAATCTAGACTCTGGGAACTTAATCTGTGTCCGTCTCAATTAAAAGTACATGGAGCTTAGACACCATGAGAGAGAATGTCTGGGCTCTGATTTTGACACAGAAGAGTAGAATTGTTATTTTCAGGTTGCACGGTTATTGGATACCAGGAGAGGGAATCCTACATCTCTGTTTGACTCCAGGATGCAGTATACAGCAGGGGACTTAACAACCTGCTGCTGCTCTAGTCTCCATGCAATTCCACAAATTAACATGGTTTTTGAAGTTTTGATGTATACACTGTCTCACCAATTTTTCTTATTTGACCAACATTGGAAATATCTTAGAAGGCCTTGGAGCCTTCTTGCTTAGAATTCTCAAGGGTATATTATGCATTTCCAATTACATTATCTAGCCTCCATTATTGTAGATCAAAGCCAACACCTTTGAAGAGCTTAATGCTGCTGAACCAAAGTGAAGCTTAATTGTAGGGTAGGGGGATGGTCAGAGTGGAGACTAATAATGAAAGGTAATCCCATGGATCAGAGATATAGTCATAAGAAGATTAAATATTTCATTTTGGGAGAAGGAAATTTCCATACTTCAGAGAATAATGGTCCTGTGGGAGATCACTGGGAGTGGGAAGCCTGATGCAACATGAGTATAAACTTTCCTTTGTAGGAATGACAAACTGAATGAAGTTACAAGGGGAGACATTGCCATTGTCTGATCCTAAAAAAAGCCCACAGGTCATGGTAAAGATAGGTGATGTTGCTCAAGGCTGGACTCTGGGAGTAGGCAGTGGAGATGAGGGACAGGAGGTTTGAGAAATAGTGACAAACAAGCACCCCTAAAATAAAGTTGGAGCTGTGAAGAGCAGAGGAGCTTCAGACCATATAGTGGAGGCATAGGTAAGTGTTGTTTGGATGTTTTTTGGTAGAGGTAATGTCTCCTATTTTGTTTCTTCTTAATTTCAGTTTTCCTATAAGCATAGATAAAACAATGTATTTTAAAATAAAGATACATTCTTTTATTTTCATATCAACAATTTTTAGAGTAAATTCCTAGGGAAACTGCAATAGAAAGTTTGAAAGAGGTGTCCCTAACTCTGATTTACCACACAAGCCACTTAGTAGGAAAGAAGAAAAAAAAATAGAGGAAGAATTCTGTTTTCTCTTTTATCCTTCCTCACCAACTTACTTTCTGATCCCTCAGTGAAAGTTACCCACTTTTTGAAAGTCTTTGTTCCATTTCCTTATTAGAAAAAAACAATTGTCACCACTTTGATTTCATACTCCACATAGTTCAATAATACCCTTCCTATAAAACAAATCAGTGTCATTCCACATCTTAAACATATTTAATGAATTCATACTTAAAAGACTGACATTTTACCACCTTCACACTCTTCTGATTACTTCTCCAAATCTACTGTATTATTTTGTGTGAGTTATCAATAGCTTGATAATTTGCTTTCTTCCAGATTCCAAAAGAACAAAGAGGGCATGTCTAGCTCAAATGACACCAAGTTTCACTCCTCTTCTTTCCTCTTGCTCGGGATTCCAGGCCTTGAAAAGATGCACATTTGGATCGGGTTTCCTTTTTGCTTTGTATATTTGATTGCCCTTGTGGGGAACGTTACTATCTTGTTTGTGATCAAGACTGAACATAGTCTTCACCAGCCCATGTTTTATTTCTTAGCTATGTTAGCCTCCATTGATCTCTGCCTGTCCACCTCCACTATTCCAAAGATGTTGGGAATATTCTGGTTCAATTTAAGGGAGATCAGCTTTGTGGGCTGTGTTTCCCAGATGTTCTTCATTCATATATTCACTGCTATGGAGACTATTATGTTGGTCACCATGGCCTTTGATTGCTACACTGCTATCTGCAACCCTCTGCAGCACAACCTAATTCTCACTAACAGAGCTATTGTTCTTGTCCTTGTAGTACTGTTTGGTGTCAATTTCATTTTGGTTATTCCCATGGTGTTTCTCATCTTGAGGCTTCCTTTTTGTGGACACCATATAATCCCCCACACTTACTGTGAGCACATGGGAATTGCTCAGCTGGCCTGTGCTAATATAAAGGTAAACATGATATTTGGATTATTTCTTATATCAATGGTATTTGTTGATGTACTTCTGATTATCATCTCCTATGTGAGAATACTTCAAGCTGTCTTCTGCATCCCTTCTTGGGATGCCAGACTCAAGGCACTTAATACATGTGGTTCCCACATCTGTGTCATCCTAGCCTTCTTTATTCCTGCTTTTTTCTCCTTTATGACCCATTGGTTTGGTAGAAATGTCCCTGTATACATTCACATTCTTTTGGCCAACCTATATGTTGTTGTTCCACCAGCCCTTAATCCTGTCATTTATGGAGTGAGAACTAAGCAGATTCGGGAGTGTGTTTCAAGCATCTTTTGGAAAATAAAACTGATGTAATTCACTTCAGAAATATACAACTTAATCTAGGGAAAGGGATTGTGCTTCTCAACTACACAATCATGCAACATAAAAAAGATTTTGACTTTAATATCATTCTATTAATAATTTCCCTAGATAACCAATCCAGAGCCTATCATGTAATTAATGTCAAAACAACCACTGTGAATTTGTATGCAATAGTTAAAGTTTGAGACAACTTATTTAAAATACTTTATTAAGATTACTTTTTTGTTTAATCTCTATAGAGTAGGTCTGGTAAACAGGATTATTTAAAATAAAATGTTTCTTTTCCTTTGCAAATAGTTAACTCTGTTGATTACTTTATTAAATATATATATATTTACATATCTGTGTCAAGGACTATAGGCTTTTAATACATTGTGGTAAATTCTTTCATTCTTTTAATAGCTTAATTTTTTGGTTCATCACTTTTATTGATTCTTTTTTATACACTAGAAACTGGTAAGTCCTGAAAATATAAAAAGAGAAAGGTATGTGACATCTTAAGGATCTTTCAGAAAAAAGAATTTGAAAAATATTCTCTTTAACTCTATATTGGAACATTGCTGGGCTTATCATATCTATGGAGCGACTACCATAAGTGACCTATTTTTCAAAGTAAATTGGTCTGCCATCTGTAGATGTGTATGTATACAATACTTACACACACCCACATAAGAAGTCCCCAAAAAGTTTATTAAAATGTATATTATGAAAAATTATGCATCTAGTTCAACTGCTTTATACAAAAATAAACTTATAATAACTGTTACAAAATGTCTAAATAGGATCTAGTTTGAAGACCTAAGAAGGATAAGACATCAATTTGAAAAGACTCCCTATATATAGCAACATGAACACTGCTAAAATTGAAGCAAGAGCAAATATCAAATTTATGATGAAGCCTGTGTGGGAGAATGGTAAAGTCATTGATGCTTTACAAAAAACTTATGAGGAAAATGTCCTAAAGAAATTAGCAATTTATTTATTTTTTTATAATTGATATTTTTTATTATGATATTGTGGCGTACAGTTAAGTGTTAGGTATACAAATATGCTTCGTTCAGGCACCCTTGTTGATAAAAGGTATCTCCACGTCCCCAGACAGATGTTTACTGCCATTAATCCAATCTCCCTTCCCTTCCCCCCCATAGTTTCCCACAACTATCAGTCATTTTCTTATGGTAATACGGTGATCAAGGTCCACTATATGAGTGAGAACATGTAATACTCAGATATTTGTTTCTGTGAGAGGTCACTCAATATTATAGACTCTAGTTCCATCCAGGTTGCTGTGAAATTCATGATTTTTTTCTTTTTTATGGCTGCAAAATATTCCATCATGTATATGTACCACATTTTTTAAATCCAGTCCTCTTTTGATGGACAGCATGGTTGCTTCCAGGTTCTTGCTATTGTGAACAATGCTGTGATAAACATACGTGTGCAGGTATCTTTTTTATAGAGTGATTTGAGTTCTTCAGGGTATATTTCCAGTAGGGGGATTGCAGGGTCATATGGGAGGTTGATATTTAGTGCTT